AGTATTTACAGTAATTAATAATGTATCAACAATACGTTGACCAAGTATTTAACATTACAATTGATATTATTTGTCATCATAGGTATTTGTAATATTATAAAATGGCATTTTACTTAATTTCCATATATATCACGTCTTTTAAAGATTTAATCATTACTATTTTTTTTTTTTACACTGAGTTATAACGAAGTGTTTTTAGTGTGATATACTACACGCGAAATTGCTGCCTGCAAAATAAAATAAAATCACTCGAGGGTCGAAACATCTTAAGCGCACACTCCGGAAGACATTAGTTAGGTATCGCATGTATAAAATTATAATATACAGGATCATTTTTCTTTATTCTGAAACAGGCAATATGTTAGGAAATACGTTTTTTTTAATTACCTACTTGTTAAAGAATTATACTCATATAAACACACTATTTCACGTATTTCTATGATCACGTAAGCGTGTTCGTTCTTGAAATTCGAAAAAAATAATATTTTTTCCGTTTGTTGTAATTTCCAAGACATTGCGCAGATTGATGATGTAAGAATCACCCAAATTTCACCCTGTATATTAATAAAAACGATGCAATTGCAATTACTCGGTGTCGCGGTACTATAACACTTATATACACCTACAACTGCAGTACCATGTCAAACGACTACGCTTTATACGATAACATCACGCCTGACAAAATTTGCCGTTTTAATATCGTCGTCCGCTCTCCACCTAAATATAATATATCACTACTAAAGTACAAGTTACGTTTCGTTTGTGGCACTCTCCCCGAACGACGCCATTGGCCCAGCGCAGCAAAATATCATTATATATGGACGTTATTAATATACATAATATTAAACTGCATTACTGCGGGGGTTCGACTGGCGTTGGCATAAATTCTGCGAAAATATCACAGAGAATATTGTTATTATTGCGGATTTTAAGACGTCGTCGTCGTGCAATGGGCCGTTTTCGGACTCCAATATATAGGTACAACAATGGTCCATGATGGGTAAGGGGTGACTCCAAGTGTTACGGCTACTACCTAAGCAATAATATCATAATAAGGTAGGTACATATATGTATTATATACTAAAGCTACGCACGGTGTTTATATATTATTAAGTGGCGAAGTAGGTACTCTGTAAGGGAAGTGGTGTCCTAGGGGTTTTTTTTCAAGCCGTTGATTATGGCTAAAGTCAACACATATTATAATATAACATCACGTCGTACCTACTGTATATTATACCATGCGTCGTTAACGGTTAGTATTTTTTTATTGCATTGAAAATTAAATAATACAAAGTTATGTACCATCTGCAACCACAAGCGACCATATTATAAACATAAGCTGATCGGTAAAACTAAAAATATTACCTTCAACCAATAAAGACATCAAGAGACTGAACTAAAAACATCTGTAATTTAGATTTTTAATATGTGGAAATTAAATTTTGAAAAATACAATAAACAGTATTGTTTAATTATATTACTTTAAATAACATAAATATAACTGATTAATTAAAAAATACGATATAGTATTCAATAGGTAATAATAAAGGGATCTCATTATTACTATTTTAGAATCTCTGAACTGGTCATACAGTGAAATTATTTACCCCCTGCACGTCACATTAAAAACCCTAGCGCTATATCACTGTTTTCAATGGAATTTTTTTTTAGATAACGATAGTTTAATAATGATTGTTTTATTGTTTTTCGCCTTCCGTCGGGGTATAAAACAAATCCCGATTACTGTCCAGTCGTCATTTTTACTTCTTAGATTTTTCTCTGTCTATAGTGGCCTACCTAACTCGTTTTTTAATTCGTTAATCGTTACATCATTTAAGTGTAGTGTAGTGTAGTTGTAAGTGTAGTATACATTAAACAAATGCTTATTGATGGAAAATATAACTGGTTTAGTTTTTATTTGTTCCATCAATTTATTACTGCCTCCCAAACAGATATATTTTTATTAAATAACTGTTGTCCGCTATACACTGTCAACTAAAAAGTAAATTTTAGATGTTAAAAATCAATTTGTCCAATATTCGATATTTATGCATCCAAAATAAATGTATCGAAAAATATTCTGCATCCGGTTATCAAATCAAAGATACTTACATACATGTATACAACTAAATATAATAAACAAATGGTAGAATCAGATTTTTTGCAAACATAATACATATAGGCAACTAAAACGGCTAAAACTACTACAAACTGTATAACAGTTATTTGTTACAAAAATCTAAACAGTAAACACGAAAAATTAGTGAAAAGCAGGTTATTAATATTGCTGCATATACTGCAACATAATAAGATAGTGGCGATAACATGTTGTCGTTTAGATACCTGCGTCTTCAGAGGGTATACAAGACGTGAGAAGGAATTAGGTGTGAGGCAATGTGTACGTAGTGGATTAAAATTTAATAATTGAATACGAAGGACACGCTAAATGTTTATGCGCGTCCTTATGTCTATACAGTGTGAACTTCGACGAGCATATTATAAAACATAACATTATTCCAATGGGGGTAGATTTTTTATTTTTCCACGGGGGTGTATATCTAACTTAACCTAACGAATACACACACGCACACACAATTAATATTATTGTTATCAACGACGATGATGTCCGGGAGAACATACCACTCATGATCGGCGCACGCGGCAAATATAGCGGCGAAGGTTTCAGGTATAAGTACATAATATTATGAACTAGGGCAAGTAGATACTATATGTATATTGTTGAATATATAATGTACTATATAGAATTATATAGGACCTACATCGATATGGGTTAACGACGGACGGAAACACGTTCACAATTCTTCCCTAATAGGTACTTACATAATATATAATATATATACATAGGTATATTACTATTATTATTATTATCAGACGGGAGACGAATATTATATTGACAAAATAATATATACTATAGGTATACGTATACATCATCATTCATCACGCAGTACGCATAATAATATGTTGTACTTGGGTAGGATTACTTGGATTTTGTACAGTTACGGTGAAACATGAAACGACCAACAGTTGTGCAGTTTTCAATATTATATTTAATTATTACTTAAAAAATGGTAAATACAATTTTATTATTATTATTAAATATTATTTATCGTACTGGAATAGCCTATAATAAACTTTGCATTTTAATAATATTCACTAAAACAAAATAAAAATAACACATGGTAATAAATAATAATACTCTAGGAAGATAAAAAGGCTCACATAATAACATAATAATTAATCGCAACCACCAAAAAAAAAAAAAAAAAAAAAAACAATATATATAAACAAAACTTTATAACTAAATCAATGACTACAATATTATTTCACTTACACGATGGAAAAAAAAACAATTATTACGGTAAAATGTTGTACGTGCCTAAGACGATGGGTGTGGTAAATAACAACTAGAATAATACAAAATAAAAACAAACAAAAACACAAAACAAAAACAAAATATTGAGTTACCTATAAATAAAAATGTAAAGATAAATGTAAAACCTATACATTTATGCACCCGGATATTGTATATTATATAAAACATTATTATTATATTTGTATTATTATTATTATTATTATTAATCATAATAATTGTGACTCTAACAGTATGAATTAAACATCTACATTAAGTCTTCATAGGTATATATATATTATTATATGGCTATCTTTGTTAAATTTTAATCACCTACCATCTTAAATAAAATAATAATATTATTAGGGTTAGTTGATTATGGCTATGGGTGTTTTGGTACACGGTTATAATTTTTAAAACAGCATTTTCTCTCTAACAAGGTTTTTACAGGACAGTCATCTTGGATTCATTCCGTTACCGAACGTTTTTAAATATTAAAAAGAAAAAAGCGAGGCATACATGTTTATAATTGAATTACACAATATCCGTTGAACAGCGAGGGAGTAGCACAAAGACTAATGTAGTGGCGTTACATTTAGCCATATAAGTACGCAATCGTAGTACAATGTGAAATTACGTTCGAGAGCGGAGTTTTTGTGGTTACTTTCTAGGAAGAAATAAATAAAAACGAATTGAAAACTGTGACAAGCATTTTGGGTTAAAAAAAAAATAATAAATAACTTAATGTCTGCACTGGAGAAGAATTACATTATAACATAATATAGTTTGTAGGGCTGTGTGCTTTCCCCGAACCCCAAAGTTATTTTAACTACTCAGCGCGCAATCAATCGGATACGGCATACGTTTTTAGTGTGTAATATAAAAGAGAAACGATTCGGCAACGTATGTGTTGATCTTATTATCATACGACCTAACAATTAAATAAAGTTAACCTTAAATAAAGTTTATTGGTCGAGATGAGATAGAATCTGCTTAAATCCTAATAATCAAATACTCTCGTACTGTATTGTAATTATTATTATATTATATAAAGAATAGAAAACTTTACCCCAGATAGACATTTGAACAAAGTAAATCGAAAAACCAAATCGTGTTCATCATTCCTCGTGATTATAATAACACCGCGAAGTAACAATAGTATTTATCATAGTATTATATTATTTTGAAACCTAAAATGTACGACTAATAATACAGCTCTTGTAGGTATAATTATTATTAATCATCTTTGAATTACATAATATACACGCCATCACGCAACTAACATTCATATCAAAGCGCACAATAAAATTGAAGTAATACAGTCGTTTATATCTTAGGTTATGATGTAGTTGTTCAAATAGATTATCATATCAATATAATTATTATATATTATATTATATACACGTTATGTATACAAAAAGTGATGTCAATTTGTTTGATTGTAATTGTTTGTATTATGAAACTGTATCTAAAGTTTAAATTATATTCATATATAATATTAACTAATGGTAAATTAAGAAAAATAATAAATAATGATTTACCAAACATTGTTAGGATAAGAAAAAAATACAACTACAAATGGTCAATGAATATACAACACAATCGTAGCGACAGGTTAAATATTAACCATTCATCGGACGTCAGTCATGTTTTGCTTGGAGCCAAAGATTTTCACCAGTTGATTTTCGTAGTCCTCGATGTTCCGTTGCATTATGTTCATGCATGGACCCAGCAAACGTTCAAATGCGTCAACGTCCAGAACTGATAAAAAAAAATATATATATGTAAAATAAAATGCACAACAATAATAATTTTTGATAATATTATTATAAAAAATGGCGTTTGTCCAAAATAATTGCGTTTTCTTATCGGACTTTTCATGGATATTGTTGGCACAATTGTTTCAGCTCGATTATTTTTCAGACCTTATAACACGTTAAAACCGAATTGTTCTACAGATACAACAACAATATTATGTGTATAAATGGAACTTTCCCAAGAATTAATTATTTTATTATAATAAATTCACACAAGAAATTAACTTGGTTAACTATCTTTTTATAGATTCTAGTGTTAAAAACCTATATAAAACAAAATATATGTGAACACTGAGGATGAATCGTAAGTCTAAAATAAAAGGCATATTCTTAATTTATTGTATTATCTTTAGGTCAACTTCCATCATTGATACCATATTTCGTCAGTGTTAGACGTTAGTGCTGAGCAATACACCCAAGAAGCATTATTGCGAGTAGGGTCTCATCTAACTAAATCCTAAGGAACATTTTATGAGCAACACCTTAAGCATTCGGCAGTTAGATTTCGCATAAAAATTGTCAAAAATCTATTCGATAGCCAGAAAAAACATTATGTATTTAATATTTAATGGAGATTCTAACTCCAATAGTAGGTTAGACATTAATTACTTCGATGTTTATCCAAAAAAAATATTGTAAGTCTCCATAATATTTACAAGAGAACGACCCCAAACAACATTTTTACAACTGTTTTTACTTTTTAGTTTATTAAATTTAGATTGACAATTTTTGTGACATTTAAAATTATAATTTATTACAATTAAAAGGATAAAAAAAAATATGGCTCAGCTATTCCCTTGTACATTGAATATACATGATACATTGTATCGAGACTTAGACAGTTTGAATATTTTTTCAGAATTTAAATTAGATTAATTTTTGTGACATATTTTTAAAATAGAGTGAATAATTCTTGACAACAAAATCGATAAAATTCGTAGAAAAAAAGACATAATTATCTGTTATTTTATATTATTTGTATATGATCCTGTAATTAATAGGCATTTTGTGGTGGCTAATAGTGTTTAAGAGCAAAAGTACTAGGTACCTTGATGGCATTATTTAAACAATAATATAACAAAACAAAAACTTAATCGAATGAAAACAACAATAAAATTAAGAGTCAACTCAAATTTAGTTAAAGTCCAAGTTTCATTCATCAGAAAATTTAATCTGGAATGGTGTTTATTATTTACGAGATTTTCTTATGACAATTTGAAGAATAAAAATCAATTAAAACACATTATTAAAATCCAGTACCTCCTCCTACTGTACAACACACCACTACTACAACCACTAACAGTGGAAAAAGAAAAATTGATAAACAACTCAAGAGGTTTGCCTTGTCACGATGTTTTAATTTATATTGTGTTCGGCTATGGAAAATATATTATACTTTTATTTTGTATTCTCGCAAAAGGGTTTGTTTAAACAATCTGTTTATTGCAGAAAACAACCCTCTCGTTTAATAATATCCCAGTTTCTTAACTTTCGCTCGAGCAGCAACACAGTAGAAATATCATTTTATGGCCCCTTTGGCATAGCACGGGCCACTGTTTAATGTATGAATAGGTAGGATCAAGAGTCCTGTTGACGAGATTATTATAACATTCCTGCAGCATTCAACGCAGTAAAGGAAATTTAGGTCATCCCAGACGGTTTAAATGAAATTCTTTGGTGTAAATTCACATAAGCAGCGTTTAAAGGATGCAGCGTAGGAACAGACAACAGCGGTCGGCACCATGCAGAAGCACTGAATCGTACTACAGTACGTTTTACATTCTCAAATCCAGATGCATATTTATATAATTAAGTAAAACACTTATTAGTATAGTGACTAAATAACGGGCAGTCGTTAAACAGGGGTATGTGATATAATATATAATGCATGAATCAACGATATGCTGATAAGCTTTAAAAGTTATAACTTCATAAGATCCAAGTAATTAGAACAAGAAATGTGTTATCGTATGAAATTCGAAACTTACTTAAATCGCAATCTAAAAATATTATTATTCTCAGTGTAGCTGATTGTCTTTTTTCTAGTTGTAATCTAACCTCACTTTAGGCATTTATATAATTATTCAAATATGCTGAACAAATGGGATAAATTTTATATCTCACTTGTGAGTTTTGAAGTTGTAAAAAGCTCCAAAAGTTTTAAGATCGCATCATAGTTGAATATTTACACTTTACAGTACTTTAAAAAGGGAAAAACTGTGAAGAAAAAGAACAGAACAATCTTAAATACATTTTAATGACTATCAAAACAATGAGTAGGTATGAAAAAACACTTGGTAAGAGAACACCGTCCACACATCCATATGTTTGTATAATTTTTAGAAACCCTTTGAAAAGAACCATTTGGGATATAGGTATAGTTCTATAGAAACCAAAGTATCAACATAAAAAAAGTGGACGTTGTGGAGTATTGTTTTCCATTTTTTTTTTCGTAAGAATGAAATCGAAAAAAAATATAAACGATTACAATCGGGTATATACAATTGTTAATATTAACAATAACACTACACTTGGGTACATAATATATAACCTCTAATATTAACTCTATAATGAGTATTAACGAGTGCATATAAATGTAACCAAATTTGTACAAATCAAGTTATATTTTATGGTAATATAATTTGGTTTCTTACTGACCAGAGGTTTCCCATATACCAAAACTGTGAAACCAAACTTTCTTTTAAACACAAAATCGCAGACTGTTTAAAATACAATCAAGACAGGATTGATAGCAGGATATTACACAACTTTGACACCCAAATCATAAACAAAACCTTGGATCAATTTTCTCAAACATAACAATTATAATAACTTTATTTTTAAAAAAAAAACGTCTGTTGTAATATAATTGTATTCATAACCATAATTTTAAAAGTAGGTACTATTATGTAACTAATGGCCTATGTTGCCGATGTTTATTTAAGATAAAAAATCCAATTGGTTTCTTAACTTATAAGTAGGTTTTTGCCTTTGCCTAATCAGTTATTTTCAAAGCGAAAGAGTTTTTTTTTTATAATCTCGTTATTTTACACAACATCCAACAATAATAACTTGTAAATTACCCCTGCAAATTGGTATTTAAAATTAAATATACCTGTTAAGATTTAAAACCTAAATTTATTTTTAATACATTTAATTACATTAGAATTGCCTTAATTAAACTATTTAAAAATCGGAACACATATTGATACTAATCACATTTAAACAGTTATATTTACTAACCTAGTTATCCGTGTTAATATTTCATTGAAATAAAACCTAGTTAAGTACCTGATAAATTTTCAGAAACTGAATCTAGTTAGTACTTAAGGGAGTCCTAAATGTTTTTTAATGATTGAGAAAAACAAAACAAAAATAGGGGAAAACATGAATTTTTACGCAAAACCAATTTTGGACAATAATAAATAAATAATAATTTTCTTATTTTGGCATCATGTAGCAGGTGATCTACCTTGTAATTGTAAATGTAGCAGGTGATCTACATTTAATTTTCAAGTGTAGTTGGTGATTTATCAAATTTTATAAATATTACTCAACGGTTATCTATACACATTGCTTCATTGATATGAATGGTATTGCTTCTGAACCCTTACCTCAACATCTTATCGAAGCATTGTAGAGGTCAGTAAATACTAAATAACAACAAATATTATAATAATATTATATTTGTCTAATTTGTTTTATAGATATTATGCAAAGTTTATAAAATTGCATATTTATTTTTACTATAGTTAATTTCTTAGTTAAATCCTTAATGACTAAAAAAATAAATTGTAATAACTAATAACAAATTTAACGTACCTACATATTCGAATTTAGTGGTATATCCCTTATATTAAATTTATAGCATCATCATTCATTTTGTTGTAATTCAAAAACGATAAACCGTAGATACTTGACATTTTCACCAAATATTTATATTAGCATTTTTTATACATGGTATAAATTTCAAATTAGTTTGACTAGTTTTGAGTTCTTTATAGACATTTTATTTTTTTTAGTTTGTTTCTATAAGTTACAATAGGAATTTTACACTCGGTTAAAAATCTTGAACATTAATAATATAAGATTCCTCATAACTCATAAGTTATTGTTGGAATTAAAAGAAAAATTAACCATAAATTATTTTCCTTTAAAAAAGCTAAAATGTTGACAAATTTTTCATTCACGAAAATTTGCAAATTATTTTGTTGTTAAAAATGTATAACATATTCAATTTGTATACCTAAAGCTTGAAAATTTAATTCAAATTTTAAATAGTTCATACTGAAAGTAAAAAATCAAATAAATATATAAGCACAATTTTTTAATATTTATAAAAATATTAACAATTTTAGTTATTTTGTTGTAATTCAAAAATATTTGTGAGGACTTGAAATGTTTATGTATATTATATTTTACTATACACAATTACATTTTTAAACGATTACAATTTATTTAAGGTATTGCATATTTTTAGTTCATATCAAATAACTACCTATCTGGCTATATGTAAAATAAATTACTATATAGTAATTAATAGCAATATAAATAAAAAATTATAATATATACTTAGTGATATAGACTGAGTCTCGTTTTTCGTTTATAATGATTTATCATGAAATTAAAATTTAACACACCCACTACGACTACAGTAACCTACTCAATGATTAGGTACACTAGACTCCTACTGAATAGCAGAACAATTCCCTACTCTCACCCTTTTTAATTTATTTTGTAAGAAAAATATTATTAAAAGTTTAAAATTATATATATTTAAAATTTTGAAGATTGTAAGAGTTAAAATGCAAATATGTTTTCATAATTTATATCCAATTGGTAAGATAGTCTGGCATAGTTAGGGTATAATTTGGTAGAAAACACAGCAAGAAATGAATCCCGGCATATCAATGTTTTACAATTTACAATCAAAATAACGCATTAGATGTAGTACGCTTTGTTTTCAAGTTATATAAACTAGTTAAAAGATACAATTTTAATGCTCAGATATTCATATACTTTTAATAGGATTTATGTCATATGCAGTATATAATACTACATAAAATTAGTAGAATTTAAATACTAATCATATTTTAATGTAATATAATATGGTGTATTGTGTATTCAAGGTAAGTGAAGTACTATAGGCTAATAGTATAAATATTGAATTTATTGGAATTTATCATACTATTTTGGTACTGTTTGAGGTTGTGACGGAGAAAAAAAATTTTTATTTCATGTTCTGTGACATATTATGATTGTGTACCAACATGTAGAAGAATACTGAAAACAATCACTAATGTTTGTTTTATACTCACACATCAGCAGTATATAACCAAATGCCTAACAAATACTCCTTATAAAATGAGTGCTACCAACCCCCTTAATGTTAAAACAAAATAACCATGGTATATTATTCAGTAAACTTGTATTTTAGGCGTCAAAAGTAAGAACATCACAGAACTTTTAATGATAATTGAAATAACTAACGACTAGAAGTGAAAAAACAGGAATATTTACAAAAGGGGTCTGTGGTTGAGTAATACTGTAGCAATTTTTAATTTTAATTTTCTTTTAGTGTAATTATTAAATTTATATTAGGCTTTCACGAGGCAAAATTCTTCAGTGTTTTTTTTTTTTTGCAAAGAGAACGTTCAAGTATTTCTTCTCGAAACCAGGTTTGTGAACTTGTTGACTAATGTTTTGCGGCTCTGTCAGACAGTTACTTGACTAATGTGTTCGAACACTTGAATGTACTGAATTTTAGTTTACAAGAAATTTATATTGATGTTTTCTATGTTAATGATAAAATCAAAGCAACTATAAAAAAAGTTTGAAATTTGGACAAAATGTGTTGAAAAGAAAGAGTTCTGAACTTTCTGACATGGTAAGTTTTTTTAGAAATAATTGTGTGAATGTCTATCACAATTCACAGTAGGTAAAGAGTGAAAAATCTGAACACTTGTTGGGCATGGCTAGAACATTAAGATAATATTTTCATCAACTTGACCTAAACAATACATGGATAAGAAATCCATTTTTCTGTGATATTGAAAAATATAAAATCTCTCTAAACAGGAGCAAGATGAATTTATTGATCTGGTAAATAACGGACAGATGAAAAATATTTTCAACGATAAAAACTAACTGTTGGTTAACTGCTCAAAATGATCAAAAGCAACTGGCTGAGAAAGATTTAAGATATTGTATACCCTTTAAGCATTTTCTACCTACTGTTACAAGAAAAATCAATACTGTAATAGACTTAATATTGACGCTGATTTAAGAGTGAAAATATCAAGCGTGTAGCCGTACTTGGTCAAGATTATGAACAAAAAAGAAAGGTTCCACTCGTCTCATAAAGATCAATGCAATAACTAATTTAAGAAATTTATGATTAAATTGTAAAAGGCAATTGCAATAAATAATCTGTTATGTAAAGTCGTGTTAAATCAAATAAATCTCTTAATATCGTATTTTTTGCAAAAATCTGTGTTTAAATTATTTCAAAAAGGTACCCATGTAAAATTAAAATAAATCATGAATTTTTATTTTTATAATTAAACAAAATTGAAGTATAGGAAAAAGGGGTCCCCCTCAACTCACCTATGCAATGAAACTCTAAACATCGAAACCGGGTCCTGGGTTTTATATTACATTCCTTAGTAGGCTTCTTCAACGATATTGATATTCGATAATATTTATGTATGTTGCTGAACAAATGAATATATTTAATTATTTTAATTTTAATTTTTTAAATCATAACTTAGTATTTATTATGGGAACGACTAGTTATACACCATTATCAATTTCTAAAAAATTACATTTATTAGGTTAGCTAACATCTCACGTTGAACAACCAAAACGCCATAATATACTTATCCTACTATAAATCATACAAAAAAAATTTTTTTGATGATTACAATTATAAAATATAAAGCGTTAACAAATTAAATAGTATTGTAAACTAATAAATTAAAAAAAATCCTAAATTAATCTCAAATCAATAGTTTACAAATTATTTAAATCTCATATGATATCAACATTTTGCTTCCTGCTCCTCTTTAATTCAGTAATTCAATATCAATTTAATAATAAACATATAATACATACAATTACCTAATTTATTTAAGATTTAAATATAATTAAAATATTTCTCGTTCAATGTACTATAATAACACATTGGACACATATTACTACATAATAGTATATCAGTGCGACAGTGCATAACAATATTACATATTATTCCAATAACTAATAGAGTGTCAACAATTATTTAAAAATAGCAAAAGAATGAAACTACAATGACAATTACTATTTTAGTAATTTTACTCAATGTATGTCATATTTTATGAGCAAAATCCATCATAATATAGGCAATGTATAAAAATACGTGTCAAGCTTCTTTGATAATTGTATCTGTTGAAATATAATAAAATACATACATGCTAGTTTGACTTTTCCTTCAGCAAACACTGATGCAGCACGACCTTTATGAGTGACAAGAGCTAGTTCACCAAAATAACCACCTTTTTCTATTTGATTAACCTATTAAAAATAAATAAGTAATATAAATAAAATAAAGAAATATAATTAATATTAATTTTAATTAGGGATTTGTAAAAAAACCTTTCACTTTTCACAAGCTCAAACTTTTTTTCAGACTACTATTCTCAAAATATTCAAACTGTTTGAGTTTAAACTTTGATTTTTCTTGAATTTCAAACTGTTAGAATTTTTCAAAGTTTATGGCGTTTGAAGGATTGAAAAGAACATAATCTTAAGAGAACGCAACAACCACATGTGTTGTCTCTGTCTTACAAGTGCGTAATTTTACTATTTATGCTCAATAGAACACGTTTAGTTCCGTTAATACAAAATTAGAGTGAATCATCAACTTATTACGAAACTTGATGGTAAAAGCATTATCTGGGTTCATATGTTGGTTTTTTACAATTATTCAGTTTTAAATTAGTAGAGCATTTATAATTTACGCTGTATTATATACGCATAACTTACTAAAAAATTGAACTATCAAAAAAAACCCAACAAACAAACACAGATAAAGTTCTTACCATCATGTTTCATAACGATTCACTCTAATTTTTAGACTAACTGAAATAAACGTGATCTGCTGAGCGTGCATTTGCTTTGTTAAGCAGTTGTAAGACGGAGACAACACATGAGGGTGTGGCGCCTTCTTAATTTTAAACAAACCTTAATTTGTTCACCAGTTTCACTGGTTACTAATACATTAACAATGCCTTCCTCTACGAAATACATGCCATCTCCTGGATCACCTTGATTTATAATGCAATCTTTGTCTTGATAGTATTTAGGGACTAGAGCATCAGCCAAATTCATGCGCTCATATGACTGAAAATGAAAAACAAATGTTAGTTTAAATATTAAATACTAATAATATACAATTTCATGATTGTTAATTGCTTTACTTGTAATGTTTTTAGCATAGGAACCACTTCAATGAGCTCTTCATACATCTTACGCTTTTTAAATGCACTCTTCAATACAATACGTCTAAATATTTGACGATCCATAGCCCACAGAAGGCCATCTGACTTGGCTTTAATAGTTGCTGCACGGGGCATGTTATAAAGTAATGCAAGTTCTCCAAAACTACCTTTATGTTCATACGTATGTACCAAACGGTCATTACCTTCTGCATCCGTGACATAAGCTTCAAATGTACCTCTAAAAAATGTTATTCTAATTAATACTGTTCTTTTTTTTCCTTGACGAGAAACCTAAATTAATATTAAATATTACCTATCAATAACATAAAAGTTATCGCCATCATCACCCTGTTTTATAATATCATCTCCAGCATGTACCTCACGATCGAACATTGCATCAATCACATTATTCATTTGTTCCTAAAATAAAAATAATAATGTTAGAAAACAAACAAAATCACAACATTTGTAAGTTAAAATAATACTGTAATGAAAAAATAAGAAAATAAAAATAAACAAATAAAATATAAAAAACTTTAATTTAAAACATAATAAAAACTTTACTTGTATTACGTGTTTACATTTTGTTTAAGTATCCTAAAGAAATTACAAAATGTTTCATATAATTAATATTTAAAAAACAAAAATCTATCCCACTATTAAGTCATATTGCAGGATTTTTAAATATTTTATGTCCTTTCGTAAATAAAATCTATATAAAATGATGTGCAAATTGTATGCTATAAAAGTGAGTTTGATAGCTATAAAGTAGTAATTATAGGTATAACAAAACAATATTCTGATCACAAAATATCAAATAAATGTTTCTTTCACACTACAATTAATATATTACGAAAATAATTTATTTGGAAGTTAAGTTAATGATCTTGTAGTATTAAAATCATTAATCACAAAATGTGAGCTTTGTAAAAATATAGATTATTATGGTTTGTTAATAACATTATTCTGTACAAGAAAAAAGTATCAATTTGACTAATAATTTACATGTTGTGCTACCTGTCAATAATAATTAAATTCAGTGGCGTATTTCTGGGATTTGCGGATTTGCCCCTCGTCTCCAAGAAGCTTTTTATTCTTTTGTTTTATGTATATCTATTTTTGATTGTAATATCATAGGTTTTTACACTTAAATGATTTTAAAGTGAAGTATTTAATATTTCCCCCCTCCCAAAAAAAAAATGGTTCAAAGCTACGCCACTGATAAAATTATAATATATTATTAAAGCTAGTTATTTGTGGGGGCATTAAGCAAATATAAACAAAGTACATACTTAAGTTATAATATGGAATATAGTATAAGTAATATAACTAAAAAATAATTTATAATTTTACTTTAGAAAGTGGACAGAGAATAGTTATTGTCATATGTTACAAAGAAACAATAAATAGAAACAAAACGTAAAAGTAGCTAAGAAATATTAAAGTGTACACAACATAGAGAAAATGTAAATTTATAAATGTACTATATAATATGTAACTGTCAGAATATAGAGAGACAACTTCTCAAATATAGCTTAAGACTAATGAATAAAATAAAATGTCCAGTGTTATATTAATGATCATTACACAATAATGATAAGTATACTATATCAAACATCAATAAACTTATTTTTTCCCAAAAATTTAAATATAAACCAAAATAATAAATTATAAGTTTTATGTTTGAACTATGCCTACTGTTACCATTTAATTTAACATACTCCAAAATTACAATATTGGTTTAAGTACTCAAATTCATTCATTTAAAATTGTTTTAATGTTTACTACATTTTGATTCATTAATAATGTAATAGATTATTAATGTATAATATATTAACACTTAAAATAATGTAAATCCAACCTGACCGTATATTTCTTTTGAATAACATTTCAAAAATTGGAGACCTTTTTAACACAACATTTTTAATATTCTTACTATAGGAGTTGAGTGGCACTGCCAAGTGCCTGCCCATAAATGCTAACTTTAAACCTACTATTGATAACCAATATTTATCAAATTTACTCATTATACTTAATAGTGATTATACTAATGAACTTTCAGACTTACAGGATCCAAGGCCCTGAATATGAATATATTTTTAACACTAGCTGCAAGTGCTTGACGTTGATCATCAGATTTAGGAAACACAACCTAAAAAAAAATATATTTTAATATACTGAATTAAATTATCAAACTTTAATTATATACATTTGGTCCCTCTTCTTCTTCATCTTCTTCTGGATTATATGTTTCTGCAAAAACTGACTTACGTCTAGAACTATAACGTGTTGGTGGAGCTTCTACATGAAAAAAAAAAAAAATTTTATAAAATTAAATGGTAGTCTAATTTAATTAAAATATAATATATGTAGGTATACAGAATAATTAATCAGTAAAATTACTCATAAAATGATTACCGATATTTAACGACCAAGGTCCTAAAAAAGTGTCATTTGTTTTGAATTTCAGTTTAAAAGATGACATTTTTAAACATTTAGTAGTTTCAACAAAATTATCTTCAACTTGAAATATATACTGATCATTTTGAGCGTTAATTAAGTTATAACAACCTTTCTTGTTTAATCTAAATATCTTCATACAACTCATGATGAAAACTTATAATTGAATGACACAAACGAGAAAAAAGAATGAAAAATGAATTACAATACACGTCTGTATGGCATGAGTTGAGAGAATGGGTACTTGCTAATTGTTGTTTTAATGATGAATTTTATTACTTATTGTGTAACAATATCTACTGATACTGAAATTTGCAATACAAATGCAATAAGAAAAGGCATAAATATAAATATTATATTTAATAAACAAATAAATACTATTGAAATTAATACTGAACCTTGTGTGTGTTAAATGGATTGACTCGCAATCAGAAATACATATTATTATAATATGCATGGAAAAAATCAGCAATGTATACCAGCCAATAAAGTCAAATTGTTTTAATAAAGAATTTATAATCCTTTATAACTTGTGCTATAAATTTATTACAAGTTGTAAGACTATTGAACATAGATTTTGTTTTCATAAGTATGTATAGAGACCTACATCTATACATTGATAGAGTACGTACCTATTGTAATTTAATAGTAATAATAATTAAATACATTATAGACCATATTATAAAAACAAATATCAATGCGTGATCAAATATTTATCTACAATACAATTATTTATAGTATAAAAAAATTAGAGTATCTAAAACAAATACTTAAATGTGGATTTATTTTGGTACCTAATGTTTTGTGCAAAATTCAAATGTCTGTACCAATATAGATTATTGATTTCATAAATTAAGACCATTAAATCCTTAGCCCTGATCATAATATATTTTACTATTTATTTGAGAAATAAAAATCATACTTACGTATTACAAAAGACTGTTAGAGGTTCTCCAAAATATGAAGTATTTTAATATAGTTCTAAATCGTTATAAGGTTGATTAAAAAATATTGTGCTTCTTTAATATGCCTATTAGATTGTTTTAAGTTACACACCTAATTGTTTAAAGCTAGTACAGTTCAAATGAGATGTATAATGTTTTCGTTACCTGTTCACTACCTAGTCTATACGTAATCTTATCAAGGTAAAAAATTAAAAAAAAACAAAACGGGACATTACATACCAATGTCTGAAGCATCGTCTTCGTCGCTGAAATCTCCAGCAGACTGCTGCTTTATACTGGAGGACGACTTGGTGTTCTTAAGCTTTTCAAAGAACTCTATGCCATAGTCAATGAGGTTGTTGGGCTGCTCAAGCAAGTACCCGATCGTGAAATCGAGCAGCAACTCTCTCAACTCATCGGGCACGTTGAGCCTAGCGGCGTTATCGCTGTTGGTACTCATCCTTGTTCGTTCCTACAAAAAACAAGGAACTGTCAGATAACAGTCACTGGTCACCGGTCGTCAAGACGGTCGGCTGTTGACAAGTATTACACCGACGGCCGAGAAAAATCAACGACCGCAATGCTACACAACAGTAGGTATAGTTGTAATCCAAAATAAAAACACACAAACGGATCGTATGGCGAGCCGCGAGCATTGGTCGTGTCCTTGACTGTGCATAATATTATTATTGTAATAGCGATAATATTTTTTAATACTACCTAAACAATAATGATTAGGTATGATGGATAATCAGCATCGGAACACGCCGTCGCCGCGTCGGCCTTCGACACCTGCCTACGACATAATATAGGTACTCACCGCGACACGATGTGACAACGACGCTGTCGATCGGTCGGTCGGGTCGGTCGGTTCGGTCGGTTCGACGAATTGCTGATCGGATGGTCGGCCGTTTGGCGTTGGCGGAGACGGTGAATGATAATAAGCGATCGGCGAGGCCCCGCAGCTAAAATAATAATATTACGACACCAACGGCACACGGAAGATAACGCGCGCGCACACACGCACACGCACTGCACCGAATACACGTACACATACACACACTCGTCACTCACACACGCACTGTGCGGCGGTCGGGCGGCGCGAGCTATCAGTGACGGCCGAGATCCGCGCGATCGTGCGAAAACAGACGGCGGCGTTCGTCTCGATCGTGAATCATCGCGCGGCGCGCTCGCGTCGACGTGTGATGTGGGCCGTGGATCGGAATATCAGTCCGACGACGTTAATGCCGCCGATATTATATTTATGTAATATTATTGTATTGTTTTTGTAATAATTATGTAAATTTATTATGTTATTATTTATTGTATTATTTATTTTTATAATATCGATATTCTTATTTAAATATTGCTGCTGCGGCGGCGGACGAAGTGACGGACGTCGGACACCGTTCTATTATCAAGCCGACGTTGTGAGAAAGCTCCGCCGTCCGCAAGTCGCAACGTTGCCGAGCAACTCACCGCCGTCCACCGGCAGTGGCCGACCGAAGCGCCGCGCGACGGCCGAGACCCGTGCGCGTATTTACATTTTACACGCACCGACTCCCACGTTTTGATTGGGCGGCACATATTATTATTATAACTATTACTATATTATTATTATATTATAAATTATAATACATACCGTGTATAATAATAAGTAATAACATAAGTAGGCACGCTGCCTATATTTTATATTCCACCCCATAGGTCCCCCCCCCACAACTATGGCTGCATATGTGTAATAATAATAATTTGATATTTATAAATATGATATTGACGATATTGTGTTACTCATAGTATTAATTACCGTACCTACTGTGTTATATTAATTTCGCTAATTGCCAATTGTTAGTGAAATGTTTTATAAAAGTCGCCGGGGACATATTATATTATACCTAAGGTATAAAGTTGAATAGGTACACAGTAGTTGGGTATACCTTGTCAAAAACCAACGAGGTCACGATTCATCATTACACCTTCTTGGTCACCTACTTATATTATTGTAATTTGTACCTATACATTACCTATACAAGATAGTTATTCTAAGTTTTACTTTGATCGCGTAGGTAAATCATGAATAATTTCCTAGGATTGGTATTATTATTACACAATGATTAATTATAAACATGATAATTTTTACTGTCGTCGTACCCAGTGGCGGGTAGGCCCACCAGCAATTAGGGATTTTCCCGGTAGGCCCTTTCCTGTGTTGATGTATGGGGGGCTCTCCGCTCTAGGACCATATTTTATCAAGTGCTGAACCTTGTGTGATGAAGATTAAAAATAATTTTAATAAAGATGCAAATTGACTAATTTTATATAGAAGAAGTGGGTGGAGGGCATTGCTCCCCGCACGAAACGTCACATTTATAATAAATAAATTTGATCACCCTACACCTATGACACCCAAAGTAAAAAGACAATCCCATTAAATAGTCATACTGTAACCAAAAAACATAAAAAATATATAAAAATGAGTATTTTTTACAGACATATTAAATTGAAATTTGGACGAAATTAAATATTAAATCCAAGAAAATAAACACGATTTTAGTTATTGTGTGTAACTTAAAAATAATATTCGTTGGTACCTACTTGAGACAACCCCCCAAGCCAAAAGTTGAAATTTCGACGATGAGTCAACATACAAGCCAAGTAAAACCGAACCTATATTCCTTGTTCAAATTGTTAGATGGGTTGGTGGCTCCTAAGTGTAAGTTGAGCTGTGGTATATTAGATGTATGGTGATAGCTACAGAATGTGCAATAATATTGTTATTGCCACTGTTTTAGTACCTAATTATCTATTGTTCTACTTATACACTATACTCTAAACAGCCAGCAGGGGTGGCCGGGTGGGCTATAGTGTCCAAACTTTTTTTATTAAGATTTACTGAGAGTATATTTTTCCTTTGAGGGTCGACTCACGTAAAAAAAAATGTAAAGTTATCTAAAAATGAGTGTTTTACATTAAATGTAAAAAAAATTTCAAAAAAATTAACATAACGTTGTTGGCGTAGAAGCGTGTCATTGCATATCGTTGGCGAGTTTATAATAATCTGGGGAATAGTTGCTAACTGCTAAACGTAGAAGCTGCTCTAAATAATCATCAACATGTGTAGGTAGTAGCTTGGTATTCAACTTTTATAACTTTCATGTGCAGAGCAGTAGTGTATTTAAGTTTTTATCATGGGGACATGGGGTATAGGGGGATTGTATGATTGTATCCAGTAGCCCCACCTTTAAAGTTAGAGGCCTTAAGTTACTCCTAAAACTTTTCCATATTATAAACAGCCTATGGTGGGGAGTGACTCCTCTGTAAATACGCCTCTGGTTTAGAAAAAATTCCATTTCACACAAACAGACATTAGACAACACATTAATTCGAAATATCAAAATATATTGTATGTACCTATCGAACTATATGTATACCTATATGTAATAATATGTAGGTATGTATATATTATATAATAATATATCCATCTACTATTATAAATGTATAGTAGGTACCTAATTAGTTCTAATTAAGGGGGTTTGACTTTGAAATCATCCAAGATCGGCAGTTTAACCACCCCTGAGGCCCTGCTCTACAATATGTCCCAGAAGTCCCGAATCACCCTTCTCCACGGTATATCTCCACGGAAAATCAATATATTTAAATTCAGTTTTTTTAAAGTAGTAAGTATGAAAATTCTGATTGATAAGCATACTATTCGAATTTTTTTTTTCAAAAATTCAAAAATTATTAAAACAATTTTGTTGATTTCAAAAATTTTTGTTGATGGTATTTTTTAAAACTGTTCAAAAAAAAATAATTTTTTTAATTTAATATTTTTCAACTGCTTTAAAAAATACGATCAACAAAATAGCTATCTTGGATATTTAAAAACCTTATTTGGCTAAAAAAAATTTGTTTGGTAATTTTTGAATTTTTGAAAGAAAAATCGAATATTATGCTATTCAATCAGAATTTCCATACTTATTACTGTAAAGGACTTCTGGGACATACTGTATAGCACTTCCCAGGTAGGTATTATAATTTAGTACCTAAAGAGTAAAGGATAATTCAACTATACATTCTGCATTTCTGCAACATAATAAATGGTAAACCTACCAAAACAAATACAAATTATAATTTATAACTAAATACTGGATGTCTAGTACTCTAATTGTTTGGATTAGGTATTATTAATATTTAGAAATATTTTAAATATTTACATAATACCCATAATCTTTCTTAAAGACATTTTAAGTTCATATTTTGATGAAATTGGAGACATACAAAAATAGTATCTCTCCTCTAACGGTTTTAGTAATTTGTTGTACCTACCTAATTCACAAAAATATTAATAGTGTGGACTTGAAATTTAACGTGCATTGTATTACTCCTGCTGAAGAATTTTTTTACATACACTGCAATTATAAGTTATAACTTATAACCATTATTTACAGAATTCAGGGAACAAAGATAATAGAAAATATATGAATAGAATATTTTTTATCTAACGTAACAAACTATAAAGCTCAAACAAATATTCATATATTTTTTCTATCATAATAATTATTTACGTCGTTTACTTTTCATTATTTCCTGGAAACTTTGTTCAGCCGCGGTCTTATAGCGTGTATACTGTATAGGCTCATCTCCTTTACTAATTGCCCGTTAGGTTTTGACAATACTCGACCGGGCGATGATGACTAGAACACAAATCCAAGCAGTACATTATAATATTATGTAACATTAGTTACACATTTCCGTTGTTTGAATTTTGAATTTTGAATTAATATGAAACAGAACGATTTTAGGGACGATAAATGAAGAAATAAATATGCATATTATATTTCAACTTCTGTCGATGTACCATATATATGTACCTATATATGAGTAACAATTAAAGAGGCTCAAAATAAACATCACTGTCATCACTCATAATTATATTATGTCGGTAGGTACCTATATTAATTGTATAATAAATAGAACTTTTAGAAGTTAAAATGCTGGTAAATGTACCTAAATAAAAAAATCAAACGAAATTGGAACTTGGTGATGTTGTGGATAATAGCCAATAGGATTATAATATTTATAACTATATTATAACATGAGATTTTTCCAAACATAAACTAATGTTTATAAATATATTATATTATATATTATAATACTATAATAAGTACATAATAATATAAAACATTATTATTTTATGTCGTCTATTCGGCAATGGCTGTGCCCTGTGGTGGCGCAACAGTTTGATTCGAGCAGTGCATATAGGTTTTACGAAGAGTGAAAAGAAAAAGGAAACAGAATTTTTTATAACAGGTCCACCGCTGACGCTAGCTTACGTCAGGAGCCAGGGTCCCTATATTCTCCAGCGGCGTCGGTGGCGGCGACCGGATCCCGGAAAAACTATTGATTTCCATTTTATTCAATAAAACGCCGCGTGACACCCTGTCACGTGCTGCCACC